ATGATGTCCCAAGTGATAATTTTTTCAGCACTTCTGAAATTCAGTACTGTTTTTGTCCATGCCACTTCATCCTAGTTTGACTAACTTTTTGTGTAATGTGGATTGTGATCATCTGGGATGTGAAGCTGTATATGTAACTTGTGAGCAGTAATCATATGAAGACTAAATTGTGACACAATCCAGAAGACTAGAATCCACAACATGAGCTCTAGGCAACCACAAATGAACCAAAAGCAGAGGAATCCTATATAAAAGAGCAAAAGTTATACAAAAATATCAACAAAAAAGAATTTACTTCCCAAAACAAACAAACACAATTTTCACTGCCATGAATCCCTCAAATCTCATATGTTCTTATATTTTTACATCAATTATGCCTATAAATACAACCAGATGATTAATGAAACTAACTCAGCCTGTCTTTTATTTTACTCAATAATATTTGGTGGCATATATCATTGGGGTGGCTTTATTGGGGGGGGATCAGCACACTTTTCTCTACTTTATACTATTTTTCATTCATTCTTTGTTTAGAAAAGACTTTTTACTCTGATTGTTTCGATATTGTGGTATCCCTGTGTGAAGCATGCTTATGCAGAAGGATCAACTAAAACACTTACATGTGTTGATATCTCATTGTGAGAATATTATACTGTCAAAATTGTTGGCCATGTTTTGTCCTCACCACTGTTTTTATTAAGAAAGATGAGCTCCTAAATCTGTGGTTTTCAACATTTTCTGATCCATGTATTGATAAAGCAGCATTGGGTTTTTCAAGGACTAGTACCTATCTTGCTCACATTACACAGCCTAAATAATTGTCTTTTGTTTATAACATGAAAATCAATGTTTTTGTGTGATATTGATGTAGGACAGATGTCATATCCGCATTGGAATATAAAAATTAATGTTTATGAATGGGTGAATATGAAATTTTTTTCTTTCAGAAATCTCTTTTATTTCCAGGTTGTTATATAATGAGTAGAAACATAGGCATAGATTACTTAACCTGCTGTGCAAAACAGTATTAACATTCAACAGAAATTGTGTGCTTGATAAAGGGAAATAAAAATCAAAGTTGCTTTTTGTTTATAATGTGATGCTAAGTAGAAGAATTGATCTAAGAACCAGCAGCAGTTAGCTGCCACCAGTTCAAAGAAATTGTCCAAGATGACAAAGGAGCATTTGCTTGAAATAGTTTTGAATGTATCATGCCCATTGATCATTCAGTAGGATGTACACGTTACTCATAAGCTTTGCCAATTATTGTCAAGCCTTTTGTGCATCCCTGATCTGCACAGGTCATTGGTGTTGGTCAACAAATGTATCCCAACTGTTGTGCAGGGTTCTGGAGGCATCTGTCTTTAATCAGTGTTTTTACTGGTTTTGAAGTGGTTGTTTTAGCAAATGTGGGTTCTTTATGGTCCCTGTAAATGGTTTTTTTTCTTTGTTCCAAAATTGGCGTAAGAGTTTACCACCTAAACAGAGACTTTTATTAGCCTTCTCAAATCGGCACAAAACTGTTAAGGATATTAAGTACTGTGCGTATTGGATGCTTCATATATATGTCTGCTTTGATGCATGTCGGCAGTTTGTACTTCAGTATTTTTAACATAAAATATGGCTAATAACAATGATAGTTTTTAATTTATAATACTTAATGTATTATCATGGAGGGGTGGATAGGAGAGAAATAGGTTATGAACTGGACTGAATTCACCTGGCTCAGGACTGTTTAAGGGTGGGTTCTTGTGAACTCAGTAATGAACCTTTGAGTTGCGGTTAATATAAGGGAGCCGGGATAGCTCAGTCAGTACAGGCTGGATGACTGGGTTTTGATCCCCAACAGGGGCAGAGGATTTTTCCTCTAGCCTCTGTGTCCAGACCAGCTCTGGGGCCCACCCAGCCTCTTCTCCAGTGGGTACCGGGGTCCTTTCCTGGGGGTAAAGCACAGCCGGGGCATGATGCTGACCACTCACCCGCATCTAGTGCCAAGGTCAAGAATGAGAAGGAGCTATACTGTTTTACTTTACAGTTAATATGAATAACACTTATATAGCTTAGTGTGATCATTAAACATGTTGTAATTACTAGTGAACAAATTCATGAGGTATTATTTATATGGTAAAAATTATGAAAGTATTTAATTTGAATTTTAAGTAGCCATAGTTGGAGTCTTAATTAGGACAAGTTTTTTTTTGGTAAGCTGAGGAAGGGTGGAAGTTACATGTCAGACCTTTATTAATGGTTTGTCTGTTGTCCACAGGTGGTAAATTGCCTCACTAGGTGCTGAGAGGGAACAGTTGGTGACATGTTAAGAAAATAGAAATATTTCAATTTGTTTGAACTTATCTCTTAGATACAAAAATATGTTCTTGGTGGGATAGGCCAGTGAATTCATAGATGAGTCTAAGTATACTAAATTTAAAGAAGGGTGAAGTATGTGAGTACGTTTGTTTATGAACCTTCAGAACCCTGTAAAATATCTGATATTGCACCCAAGGTGAATCATACAGCATCTGTATGATTCTCCTTCCATGTTTGGTTTCAGCTGCTAGGTTAGTGATTAGGCAGATGGTGTGATTGCATTTTATCAGATCACTAGTCCCAGTTTGGCCCCCGAGGACGTGGCTCTGCCCCCTATAACAACTCCGACTTATGCAATAGAGTTCCAGAAAGCCATCAAGGCATCCTCACGAGGCCGTGAAGTTCTCACTGTACAGGTAGGCAGAATTCCCATTGCAAATGGCCAATACTAGCTGGACACAGCTTTATTTGTTACATGTCACACTTCTTTGAAATGGTTGTGGTTTTAAAGGCTACCTTATAATTGTGTGGTTGATTGGACTAAATTGCTTTGGCTGTATGTGACATCTTCACTCGTAGAATTATGGTGGGCATTTGGAAAGTAACAAAATTGGTTCTTTTGTGCCTGGTATTTGGCCACCTGTATCATCTTTAATTAGACTGTTTGCCTATTTTGGCTTCACAAACAGTTCTTAAGATTCTTTTTTAAAACATAATCATAGAAGCATTAAAATTAATCTAGTTTTGTTTGGGGAATGTGCCTGTAACTTTTATTTGACTGGTATGTTCCAACCATG